TCCGGGGCTAACTCGGCGCGTCTTCCGGTTCCACCACGCCGCCAGCCGGACCCGTCTCGCTACCGCCTTGGCTCATCGTCACGAATTGCTGCGATAGCGTCTGCAGGCTCTGCCGTACCTACGAATATGATCCGATATGAAGTGTACGTCAGCACATTAGATTAGATTGATTAGATTCCGTCATCGCAACCACACCCAGTTCTCTTCGATTATCTTTTAGATTCTCGATTCTCAAGCGCCGCGACGAAATAAAATGCGAACATATAATGCAAATAATAAAAATGACTTAAATGGCTTGTACAATTTGAGTGACTCAGAACTGATGACTTTATCGTGTAACTTAAAAGTCAAATATTAATTTATTAATGCACAAATCTAGTTGCGATCTCCTCGTCAGTTTGCCGATCAAATTGTTTTTCAAAGCGATAAAAATCTTAATTATTTAAATCAACATTATTTACTGAAGCTACATTCGAATTGCTATACGCACTTGTATTTCACGATCAGAAGAGTTTTAAATGCGGTCGTCGATCCGTACATCACGAACAAACATAAAAACATCTCACCTTCACAATTTGATCCAAATTCGTGTTAAGATAATGCAACAGTCGATCCTGCGTGAAGCGTTCTGGCGAGACGAGGGGATGATTGAGATAAGCGGTGTGCAACCTGTCGATGCGCATCATCATTAGAGCCGCCGACACGTAAAGAGCTGCCAAGAGAGCCACCAGTATCGTTATCACCGTGCCAGGCTTCAATCCGTTGGTAAATACAGATTTCAGCCTGCTGGTTTTGCTCGGTGTCAGTATCTTCGCTAATACTGCTGTCTCCATTCTGAAAAGAAGAATACGGAATGAGCATCGATTTCGGGCACAACGTTAACGCGTCGTATTTTGTAAGACTACAAGCTAAAATGAATTAATCATTCACTAATGAACAAAATTAAAAACAGACCTGTTGGATGACAAACTCGGCCTGCTTAGAGCCACTGGCGCGCCATCCGTTTCGGTGCAGACAGCTGGCTGCCGTGAGGTAGCCGTGAGATCGGTACCACTCTCGGACATACTCGACTCGTCCTCCTCGGCGTTCACCTCGGAGTCGTCGACCAGCAGCGTGTCCGGCGGTAAGAGCTTTGTTTCGCTGACAAGCTCCGGCAGAACGTCCGCCACTGGGCGCGGCTCCATCGCCGCATCCCAGACCTGCTTCATCAGCTTGTAGGTCGAGTCGCGCGACAGCAACGAGCAGAAGACATGGCGCTCCTCCTCCGTCGCTACGGCTACCGCGTTCGGTATGATGCGCGCCGTCTTTTCTTTGCTGATCTTCAGCACCGACACCGTCGGTATCAGCAGCTTCGTCACGTAGCCAAACACATTGCTGTAGAAGGCGAAGTAGTTGGGCGTGATGTACAGGTGACCCTGCAGCAGGATGTCGCCCACTAGCGCGCAGCTGTAATAATTGAGCACACGCTCGTCCTCCGCAACCTGAAATTTTGAGGACTAAAAATTAGGTCGAGACTGCCCTTTCGCCGACACGGAGAGATATATTTGATTTTTAACGTGTAATCTGTTATTTTTATCGATTTTCGTAAAACACCTTTCCAAATATAACGCCTAATTTCATATACATTAATTTCTTCGCGATAACCTTACTGTTAGATTAATTAAGATTCGAGTATATTAGATAAGATTGATTTATTTTATCGTAAAGAAGATTTTATATATATAATATTGTTAACATGTAAAGAATTGCGCCTGAAAAAATTACAAAAACCCAAGTCTTAAAATATGTATTATTGAGAAAAGTTGCGGCAAAGGTAAGAATTACAAAATTTAATATACTGCAAATTATGTTAAAATAGATAACATTTCTAAGACAATAAAAACTCCTTAAAAATAGCTTTCTCTAAAAAAAACTCCTTTAAGGAGATAAAATCTCCTTAAAAATACGCAAATAAAACTACATTTAACTTTTCAATTCGCGTTTTAGCGACTTGTTTGTTGAGAAGACGAAATTTAAATAATTAAATCGGAAAGTTTTAGAGAGAGAGAGTTTAAACTCTTTAAGAACTCCATTCGTAATGCTCGAGATAGTTCAACTTTACAGTTGAACACTTTGTATTCTAAACCCTTTGCTTTAACAGCCGACGAGTTTGATTTGAGTGACGACATTTTCGCTTCGTAGGCGGGCTGCTCTCAGTTTCAAATTGATACGCGATACCTTGTTTGTCAAACAACGAGAGGGGGGTGTATCATTTGCGCCACGCGTGTACTCATCATTCTACGCAACTTTATGTGACGCAACATCATACACAAAATCGAGTGCGATTAAGACGTTCGCAAAACCGCAAATCCTGATAATTAATGGCTCGATCAATATCTCAATAATTAATGACATTATTTGCGCCGCATCTGGGTCTCTTGCTTCTGTGAAGTTCACAGATGAGAGGGGAGGTATTTTTACATCGCGCGTAGACGAGGCGTGCATTGACGTACGCGCGTTACATCCTCAGAAACATTAACCACCGGATGGAAATGAGGTAAATAATGATACGACAATGAAACCGAGTTAAACGGGTTACGTGACTGCTGAGAATGGCAGCATTTACAAAGTTATATTTATTTTCTCTTCCGACATTTTCTTATAAAAAGTGATAAATACAAGCTTCAAAAGAGTTACGTCGATCATGTATATTTCTGCAATCAACTCTAATAAACTTTTCAAAGTAACGAAGGGAGATAATGTTTTATACGTATTTTATAATATAAAAATTACGGCTGGCTTTATATGTGTCGTATCGTAAGGTGAGAAAAATGTTTATTTTTACCTGAGTAAAATGCCTGTGGAACTTCTTCTGCCTCGCACTACTAGTGGACGTCGGCGACGACCTCGACGAGGATCTGCTAACCTTTGCTGGAGTCTGCGCGCCGCCAGCTGCCATTGATGGTGTACTCCTACTGAGCGGCTTCGAAAGTTGACTGGAAAAAGAAAGGAACAATATAAAATTTCCACCTACAGATATTAAATTGCGCGAGAATAAATACAGTTAGGCATATTTATAGCATCGAGAAAGTTCGTCATCGACCATTTGAATGGTTAAAATTTACAAAAATAAAGCACTTTCCAAAATATCGAATAATCATTGAGATAAAAATTGCATTAGTAACTGAACAATACACTGTGCAAAATAAAATTAAAAATCCTGCAACAATATTTGTAATTAATGACTGCAACAGTAATGATAATCTAACGATATTTCTTCCCCTACACACGTGTTTATAAAATGTAGTTCGTTAAATCAATTTGCTCAGCGAAGAAAAATCAAGCGGCGACTCTAAGACGTAAGTTAGAATATTTCCCCCCTTCGCTGACACCTCACATTTCACTTTACGTCATCACATTTAGAACACGTTACTCCCTCGGAGATTTATTTATTATCAGGTGACGAGAGATTGTGACGAGAGTATTCTGCTCGGGTTCTATATGCGCACTACGGTAAAAGTTAATATCTACACAGCATCCGGACGAGAGCTTGAAGAGACGGAAAAGGGTATCATGCATTTAAAGGTCACTGATCTTTTAGCACCGAAGGACCGATTATCTCCTCTCATTGTCAAAACAGTCCGAGCATTCCTTCCTTGCATCATTTTAACGCGTTATATAACACTCTTCATCGTCGCATTCGTATAAGAGTCGCAGAATGCCTCGAGATAAAAGAATCTCGCGATAATTAAATATGGCAATTAATTACGGTGAACTTTGGAGATTCGAGATACACCGCGGATTTAAATCGATCTGCGATGGACTGCGCCTTTAATTTAATCCGTCCCCTAAAAAGTAAGATAATTAACGTTTTGAATTAAAAATTAATACATATAATAAATAAAGAAATCTCAATTTCAATTTTTCGCTCGCAGGAAGTGATATCGAAAAAATTAATTGTTATCAATAATATCACGTCTGTATTTCATATCTCCCTTTCGATCTTAAAAAGTTAAAACCGGTCTTTATCTTATCCCCGCGCCATTTGCGCTTTAATATAAAATATCAAAAAGCTTGTGCCTTTATTAAACGGTTGCGATGAGAGCAAAAAAAATGATGGCTAACTTGTTGGTGTTGCTCTGCACGCTGTTTGCCCTGCCTTTTTTCCCTATTATAGAGATACTCCATAGATCGTTGCCCCACATCTCCACTCGCGTCTGCCCCATTGTAGAATTTTTCGCTGCTCCTCGAATTTTGCGCTTCAAAAATCGAGGCAATCTCATGCGAACACTTGCGTCCGCACTGGTTCAACAAATCACTGTCGCACTTCTGTGCTGAACGGTGAACAAAACTCGCGTATCGCAGAATAATACGAGAGCCTTCACCTTTGAAAGCACCGACGCACAATTGCAAAGCAAAATGAGTAAAATGATTTATCATACGCGAAATTTCGACCCGTGAAAAGATTACTTTTTTTAATCTAGTAAACAAGATTATTTCGCGATCAAAATCACTTTCTGTGGAGAGTTTTGAGAAAGAAATTCAAGTACTGTATTTTTTGCTGTTAAAAATCGACTGAAAACTTCGTAAATTTTATACTTCCAATTTTTATTTATTTCTTATTTAATTTTTTAATTTATTTTCCATTGCTTATATAAATTAAAAAATTAAATAAAAATAAAAAATGTCGTACCTTCATAAATTCAAGTACTTCTCGTGAACTTGAGTATTCAAGTGCAGAAAGTATACTGTTAATTAAAAGCATCTAAAGGATATAAGTAATTAAATATATCACGTTACTCTTCTCATAATCGGATTTCTTGTTAATAAAATTTTTCGGTCTTTTTTTAAGTAGAAAATACGCGGTATTCCGAGTAAAAATCGAATAAATCATCGATCGCGCCAATTCATATCGCCGATTGTGACAATTTTCGCACGCGAAGACGACGACCGCTCGATGCACAGCGCAACGCTTAACTGGTACACGTCGCACCGTCCCCGATGCTTAACAATTCGCTGCCTGCGACGATGATGATAACACGTGGGAGACAGTCTGGAACGTCCGCTGAACCATCGCGTCGATTAAGAGGATCGCCGCAACCGAAGAAGTAACGTCGGTGTGATAACCAGCGGATGCTCGATATTAATAAACGTAAAAGAAAAGATGTAGAGCACAAGATAAGTCAAGAGAAGTATTATAAAAACTTGTTACTGATAAAGACGCGGACGTGGATCTCCCGGCGCGACTCGCCCGCAGTCACAATTTCGAGATAACATCTGTAATCGAGGTGTTTCTACGGCCGGAAACCAGACTGAACGAAAAAATTCATGCTTCCGGTGTTTATACGCTTACACGCGCTGATAAGGCGTCCGTGACGCGCGTTTAGCATTTTATTCTCTTTGTACCACATTTATCTTTTGCGATACAATCCATATGTCATTATATACAAAACGATTTCAATCTCTATCGGACATCTGTCAAAACTGACCTTTGATAATTTCCGTTTTTTTTTAAACAAATAAGTACTTTTACGGCATAAATGCAGATAAGAAGTTGTATTAATGTAAACTTCATAGAGAAACTGGATTTAATCAGGACATAAAACAAACGGCATAAAAGAAAACTAAGTAAACATCACGTTTTTATCTCGCAATATCTCTTTTCATTGCCAGCGTCAAGAGATCTCCAGAAAAAAATCGATATGCAGATAATTTTAATAAACGAGTCATGAGACGTCTTGGAATCTCGGACGTCGTAAACATTGAAAAAACTGCACGAACAAATCACTTCCAGTGAAGAAGTATTAATCTTGCAAGTATGAACAAATTTTAAGAGATAGACATCATGGAAGAGTATTTTTATCTTGTAAAAAAACAATATTTTTAACCCTTAATCCCGACTCATGGGTCGTTTTCGACCCAAGCGAAATTTCAAAGTGCTGTAAGGTACCTCCATTTCTTAATAACAAACTATATAAAAAAATAATTTTTATCGAAATATTATAATTGGGACTTCAAGTTGAAGGTTGAAAGAAGCTCCATGAATTTTTTCAGATTTTTTAAAGCGTTTTTACTGATCCAAATAACGCAAAGACGCAAAGCGACCCATGAGTCGGGATTAAAGGTGCCGAAAAGAACCGTCGGGATTAAGGGTTAAGGTTTTTGTGACTCCGATCGTGTATCATATAAACTATGAACTACATATAATTATAAAATAAAAATATGATCTTGGAGTTTCAGTTCCTCCATATAAATCGATTTAAAGTTTTTGTCTTTTAAACCGCAAACTTTCATATAACTGGATAAATTAAATCTCAGCAGCCTCTCGCCGATGTAATTTTACAAGCCCGCGTTATTCTTCTAATCTAACTATTAAACTTACGATTTCTCTCTTTCTGAAAAGTATACTACTTCGGAGTTTCGACTCTGACTCGTCTTTAATTTTCTTTCACCGACTCACTGGTCTATCCGGCTTTTCCCTACTTTTCCTATAAATATTCAGGGGATTTCGAAGGTTTATCTTAACAATTTAACCTAAGTTATTTATCTACCTATTTCACTTTCTGGTATGCTTGTAAATTTCTCTTTTTTTTTTCTATAAATCTATTTTTAACTTTTTTTTAAAAGCACCGTAGAGTTGTCAGAATTTAGCAAAGGAATACTAATACTCTTTTTTTTTTTTATCAGTACAACCCAATCGCACAGATAATGCTTGTGACGTCATGCTTTTGTATCGTAATAGCCGTTTAGTGGACGGCACGCATGGAGCAGCTATTGTAAGTATAGCCGCAAAACATTCCCGTGTACGATTGAACTGTTTCAAAACACAATTCTATTCTCGACGTGATTTAACGCTACGCTTAAGTGCTGTCTAACTCGACCGCATTTAGCGTTAAACATGCTGCATTTAGCGCTAAACATGCGATGAAAATACCGGCTTATATCAGCTTCAGCCGCGCGTTTTCAATTCCCCGCAAATATAATTTAGCGGATCTTACGCTAAATCTGCTAAAATCGATAACAATTCATCAAATGTCATGTTACTTAATGCGTAAAACAACACAAGCACTTAATATTTTTCATATACGCAAAACAACAATGTTTTTTCATCACGGTTTTTTCCTCTCGAGTGGCATTTACATTTTTGCGGTTATCAGTTTTTTTTATATTTTTTTCTGTGATAATTTAATTATTTATTCTACAATAAATAACTTGTACAATATTTTACGTACATTCAAAAATTTTATATGATTTACACTTTGATCGGAAAAGCCGTGTTGATTAATTCCGCATGTTCTTAAAACATCCACTAATTAGCTCTACAAAATTTTCCTTACTTATCTCACCGACAAAAAAAACCGTCTGATCTCATCCCAATGTAATGCGCAAGTATGCCGTTATAATATTTGTGCACCATAAATAACTGCAGTCAATAGCGGCTCAATAGAGATAATTACGAAGTGACGGCTCGTAGAAACATATTTCCCGACAGACGAGTTAATTATAACATCTTATCATGAAAGTATCTAACATCTTGTTTTTCGTAGTAATCCCAACCTTTCTCCCACCACTCTGTCTTCAGCAATGTGTATACAGGTGCGACGTTATCAACGTCTTTGCTTATCGATAATTCTCGTGAATCGATAGTGTTTCCCTATTTCGCGCGCGAATCATCTACCCTACCTTTGCGGAAGCAAAGCTGAAAATGGATTCGACGTTGATAACGTTATTAAAAATACACGCGCTGTGTAAAATTACTCATCGTCTTCCGTATCGCGACGAAAATATAAGTCAAAGACGGAAATACGACGGTTTCTTGCGTAAAGTATTATGAAACGTATGTCTCACTTTTTAGTGAACTAAATAAAATTAATATTTTTTTTAAATATCAAAATCTAAATCACATAGCTTATAAAAAAAATTTTTATACGTGTATAAAAATAGGAAAATATCAGTAACGTATCATTATTTCGCTTCGCGAGGAATTTCGTCGGGCTCACGACTCGAGTCGTGTTAAAGGCACAAACAACGAATTTTACTCACCTGTCGTTCCATCTCAAAACCGCGTGACTGGGGCTCTTCGGAGGCTGAGGATAGCTGGCGCCGGCCACGGTAAGTTGGGATCCGCTGATCGATTGTTGGCCCGTGGCCTGTGCTGCATCAGGAGTTGCTTGCAAGGGTGTACTGGGTGCTGAGCGCGCGCCTATGGACCCCGCAGACCTGCGAACAAGACGTTAAGATCTGAGATCAAAGAAATACAACAAGAATGCTTCGCGTCTTATGTTCGCCTCGATTTACCGAAAAAAATTCAGTACATTCACGTAATAAGTGATGCAAAATTTATAAATTGTTTTTCTATTTTTTAATGGCGAAAATTAATTGTTATATTCGTCTTAATCTGTAGGCGTTAAAGATGAAATACTTAATATTCGCTAAGAATTATAAAAATTTCCCCCTGTTCTGTAATTTATAGAAAATCCTTAATTCCTTAGTTTATATTCTATACACATTTTCTATCCTAAGAAAAATTGATCCCAAATTTTGCGAATATATCGACAGCGCTAGTAAAAAATATCACAACACGAAAGTGTAATTTTTCAAAGAATTATTTGTTTTGCTATTTTATTTTAAAAATTTCTTATTTATTAGTTGCGATAGAAAAATATTAATTAAATACTCAGCGTATCAATTCGATAAAATGATCAAGGTAATTGATACTTTATCGAAACAATTCACATGACGCAACCATTTTTGACGCATAAATATGACAATAAATGACACTTTCGATCAAACACAAAACACACAATATTAATTTCATTTTGTAATTCTAGTCGATGAATGTTAAGATATAAAACAATGATTATTCATCATCGGTTTAATAAATCAGCTTTGATATCAACAATTTCCAGGAACAAATTGCCGGTCAAACTTTTGTAAATTATTCTCGCAATATGAGATTCTTATCACACGCTAATGCTGCAATTGACATTTCTGGCGATTTTCCGCTATGATATTATCAGACATAACAACTTATTTATCTTCCCTTCAGATTTACGTAGCTCTAATTTGAGATATGCGTAAATTATTTTATCGCGAAAGCTTATTACCATGTTAACCGAATAAAACATTACATACCTCGCTCTGGTTAAGAGCTTGTCGGAAGAGAAGCAAATTTCGATCAACGCTTGGGTTTCAAACTCCATCATCGTTTTTGTGGAAACACAGTGGCGCTTCTGTTATTATATCTGCGACTTTTCCGCGCGAAAATTATCGCTTTGAGAGGTGCTTCAACGGCGATTGCCAGCTGGTCGACAATCGACGTGAGCTCAATCGGCACGATTATCAGATACTATGTCCGGCAGATGTCGAAGTAATTCTCGGTAAAAAAATTTTTTATCGAATGTCGCACGAATGTCAGCGCGATGAGTCATCAATAACTTAAGTATTCGTACAACGACGTATTCTGCAACGTAGAGAATTACACACCGTGCGCGATCGCACCAAGTCTACCTACGCAACACAATAGTGTGTTCACTTTATCCGTTTCTATCCGGCTTATCGTTCGGATTAATAACCGAGCACGAACGAGGAAATAATGGACGGTGATGGGTAACGGACAGTCGATAAGCGATAATAAATGAAAATGCAAGCGAAGTAGTGGCGCGGTGTTTAGGCGTTGGTTGCTCGCCAACTTCCGCGGTAATCAGGGGAGAAAGTAGGGACACTACGGAGAATAAGGTCAGAGCAGAGAGGAAAAAGGATGAGCGCTATCGGGAGATGAGACGAAGAGGGGCGAAAGAAAAAAAGTCATCGCGACGCGATGACTAACGAACCAGTTTCTGTCTCTCAGCGGACCGCGAGAATAGCCGCACCTCACCTCACGGGTTCAACGAGCCGGGTTGCCTTTAACAAGCGGCGGACACCGCGGCGATGTACAATGGGGGGAAAAGCGAATGAACGAACACGCGAGAGGGACCAGCCCTCGTGAAAAGAGAGAGAAAGGATGAGACGCGAGAAGCGAGATGACCGATCGCGAGAACTTGTTCAGTAGAAACCGCGTTGGTATCGGTACTTTCGAAAGATCCCTCTCTTCGAGTGCCGCCACTTGGCGCCGAACGATCGTAGGGCCAGCCTCGCGATGAAGACGATGCCCATCTCGAAGCGGCGATTTCTTCAGAAAGAGGACGAAGCACGCGAATCCAGCGGCGCGATCTTCCCGTCGCGGGAGAAAAACTCGAGTCTTGAAGAGTTTTGACGGAGAAGCCGAGTGGAAAAGTGGATAAAGTGGCGGAGGAATTAAGCGAAGAGGAAAAGTCGAAGAAGCTAGAAGGGTCGATGAGTAGCGAGAGAGCCGCGCGAATCCGTTGCTCCACGGACCAGCCGGGATATCAGACTGATCGCTGTCGCGCGCGTACCAAGTGTCTTGCCCGTCGTCGCCACTCGACCTTGCGACCTTTTTCATAATTGACAAATCGACAATGAGCACCTGCATGTATGATGAGAATCTATAGTCCACGCTGCTAGAGCTACTTGTACGATACTTTCGTCGCACGGAGTCGCGGATCGAATATCGCGCACGGTAATGAGTGCGCGCGGACGGAAACCGAAGGGTGGCTAAAGCGGAAGGATGGTAGCTAAAGCGAAATTCGATGGTTCGCTTACATCATTAATGGTACGTTGAGCATTATAGTGAGTTATAGTTGGTGAAAAATCGATCTTCGAAAGAGATGAAATTTTTTCCGAGGCTTGTCGGAGACTCGAAAATAATGATGCTGCTTTAGAATTTGTAATATCTGAATGTGTGTGTGTGTGTGTGTGTGTGTGTGTGTGTGTGTGTGTGTGTGTGTGTGTGTGTGTGTGTGTGTGTGTGTGTGTGGACATTATTATATAATGATATTTGGAAGTATTTTAATTTGTATAACATTTACTAATTTACGAAAGCAACATTATAATACTGAATTTAGATACACTTTGGGTAACATTAAAATTGAGAAAAGTAAAAATTGTATTCGCAAATGAATCTAGATCCTTTTGTAAATCACATGCAGCCATGTAATATAAATGGGATAATAATTTATGCCTCATAATGTATAATGGCAAAAAAAGAATGCACTGTTGTAAATAATTACAATTAGTAAGCGAGGACAAAGTATTTGAAATTTTACGCTAGTTTGCGTCACATCGGATGTTTGAATAAATTTGCCATTCCGGCAAATTGATGCACGCGGAAACACACGCTCGAGTTTCCCGAGCAGCGCGACACTCCACTGAACCGAGAGAGGAAACGCAAAATATTTTGCCATTAGCCGTAGCTGGTGCCTCCATGCTGGAGAAGAATATATGCGCGCTCTCATAGTCGGGTCGCATTGTCTGGCGATCCTCCAAAAGGTCGAACGTTCTTCTCGCGCGCCGCACATCAATAAAAGGCATCGAGAGAAATGGGAATCACGATCGGTGTATTAGCGCTTTTTCAAGTTCTCCCCACGATCTAAAATCGAACGACAACAATAGCGAAGCCGATCAAAGCCCATCACCCTCGTTAACCGTGCACTAATAATAGGTCACATAAATGGAGACGAGCGGAGAAATCGAAAAATAGGAACACCGCAGCATAAACACGATATAAAATTAAAAAATATGAAAGTATAAAATTAAAAAAAAAGTGTAATTCTGAATGTAAGTGTGAAAAATGTAAAAATGTGAAAACACAAAAAAATATAGAGAAATAAAGTGCAATAAAAAATATTATTATATTAATGGCCTCATATATAGATGCTAAGTAATAAGTGCATTAAAAAATAAAAGGCATCAAAATGTGGAATATAGATAACACAATTAGGATTAAAATTATAGACAATTTCGTGTCATTTGTCTCTGTCGTTTGCATGACAGCAAACACGGATGTACAACGACCCGTCTATATAATCTAATCGAAAGCAGACTCGTTCGGGAAATTAATTGGCTTGTTAATGCTTAAGCCACGCGATATCCGATTGATTGCCGGCTACTTTAACCTGACACAAAGCACACGTGCATAACGACGTGCTGACTCGACGGCGAACACACAGCTATGTCTATTATTATCTTATACCGTGCAACGGTCACGGACATATTCCAGAATTTGATTAAAGCACCTCCCTCGCCATCCAACCCGCATGAACGCGATACCAATAAAGCGATGCTCACCAATGTGCGGTGTTGCGGTGCATCCTGCATTATTAAGATGCGCCAGGTGTGCGCGACTGCGGTGTGTCTTTCTGAAGGCCGTGAGAAGACGTCACGCGACAAGACACTTTTACAAAGTTCCATAAACGTTACATTAGAGACCCGGAAGAAGAATCTGGAAGTCCCATCTAGCGCCAAGGTGCTGCATAACCCGGCACGGCAAGCAGAAACATTCTTGAGAAATCGATTTCAACGTGATACGAGTGTGTCCTATTTCGTGATAACGATCAAAAAATATTCATCCAATATTGTTCAACGTTATCAGAAATAAAATAAACATTTGAATAATAAAACTTCGAAATTATACATGAATCTACAATTTTATCTCAATGAATATTCAAAGCATTTCAATTAATTAGAGTGATGGATTAATAACTGATAACGATTGAATCAATAACCCAATTATTAATGTCAAGTTATTAATATTCAGTCGATTTAATTGGCCAAATAGATAACGTCTACTTGGCATTTTTCGGCAATATTATGAAAGATCAACCTAAAAATATTCATCTAAAAATATTCTTCCGCATAATTTTCGGCACGTGATCGATCAATCACGATTCGAGATAACGACACGGAAGAAACCGTGTACAATAGTGCGAGCCGCCGCAAATACGTAAATATACAGATATCGTCGTACACATTTCTTTAACGGCGAATACATTTGCATATTTATCAACGACGTCAAGCCGTCGACCGATTTCTCAGAGACGTGAATTTTAATACTTATTCTATGGGAAAATTATACACGAGATGTATCTTGTAAACGTGATTTTCAATTATAATATAACGCAAATTTACCGTTGCATGGACAATATACGTCCAGTCACATGTTTTTCTATTCATATATTTCTACACATTAAACATTTATTTGAATATGTAATTATTTATTCTATCGTGCTATTTATATAAAAATTAAAAAAAAAAGATAGTAATCATTTATTTTCTAAAATCACAAAATTTCGCATGTGTTAGTTTTAATCTTAACAAAATAT